AAAACAATATCGGTATCGGATCGGAAGTGCAAAAACCTGGATCGGGACATCTCTAGTAAAAATCATGAAAAAGTTGATTTTAAATCACAGAATTTGAGTGAAACTCGTTTGTTATACGGATTCATCAGAGAGGGAAATATTTCAAGCCTTTATTTTTTGTCATGTTAATGATTATGGTATGAAAGTGATGCTAAAAAGTAATCTAACTGGTTTATCTGTAATAAATCAACTCGGTTACCCTTACTCAGGAACAGACTGGCCATCAGTGGATTGGAGATTTAAAAAAAGAAAAAAAATTATCTGTTCGTGTATATTAATCAGGTCTCTGCCACATTCGCTACTTTATGTTTCTGAGTCCTGCTTGGAGCAGGAGAGAAGGTCAAAAGGAAAGCAGCAGAGAGGGTAAAAACAAAGAACTATAATTGACAAACATGAGGGAAAGTATTTTCCCAGTCTGCAATAAGCAACTAAACGTGCGCTTGTTCTTTTTCACAGCTTCTCTCAGCTCCAGTAACGATGCATTTAGGACTACATAGTCCATTTATTTATTTTTTTTATCGTTATTTATTCCAACTCATTTGCTGGCCTGACTTAAATAAAGTTAAGCTGAACAATACCTTAGTATATTGTAAAGCACCGAACTGAAATAATAGAGTCATTAATGAGTGAATATTTAAGAACTGTTGTCTTAAAAAGTAAGTCATTACTTTTTGGTGAAAAGATTCTTTGTGGATGAAGCAACTAGTAACAGTAACCTGTTACTTTTTTCCAGTAACTGATCTGAAAAGATTGGAAGATTACTTAGTTTCAATTAGAGCTTAAAAATTATTGGATTAATCGATTATTAAAAATAATCGTCTGGGCTCCTCCTACATGGATTTCTGCATCAATGAAGCCTTCAGGTCTTTTTTGTTGGGTCTGCTGTTGAGTCGATGTCTTTTTCTGACGTCGGTCCACCAGATCCCAATATTTGCTGCTGATTTTATTGCCATTATTTCTTTCTCTGCCTTCATTGACATGATAGAATAAATAAAAAAATCTCGATGTCAAATGCTACACAAATGTTCATTGGAGCAAAAAAGAAACTCCTATTAATAAATAAAACAAAATGTTAAAAATGATGGCAAATGGAGGCAGCGGCAATGAAAACATTTAATGTGATCTCAAGTTATGGCTGCTGAATACGCCGCAATGAACATTCCTAAACGTTAATGCATCAGCAGATGCTGACACAAGGAATAAAAACAACAGATACAAGGAAATAAAACATATATTGGCCAAAAGTATTTGCTGGCCGATTCATCCGTCAAACTCTAGTTTGATCTTCCTGTTGATAAAAGATTTTCTTTCTAGGGGGTCCGGTTGGTTTGCAGGCCAATTATTCCCAGGAACACCAGTATGATTGGAGCAGCTGGTGGTACCTGGTAAAATATGGGCCGGTTAAAATATGGGCTGGTTAAAATATGGGTCGGTTAAAATATGGGCCGGTACAAAGTCCTTTTGAAAAATGAAAGCAGCTTCTCCATAAAGTTTCTCAATAAACGTAAGCATAAACTGGTTTAAATGATCCCAGAAGTCATTTCAGTAACGAAAGAACAAACATGATCTTACCATTAATGTACTTTTTTTTTTTACACAACTTTCTCCTTTGTGCCTTTAAAATATATAGCAAGAAAACAGACTATAGTATCCTGGAAAATGTGTTGCATCCACTGCACAAGCTGATGTATCAGCTTTTCCCCCCCTTTTTTTAAACCAACTCAAGTTGTGATAAAAACAGAAATCAATATCCTGCAAGGAGCAGAAACAAAATTGTTTTTCATATTTGTGGAGATTTCTTCCTTTCTTTTCTTTTTCTTTAATGATTGACCTTTGATTAGTAGTCGATGTTCGCTTTCTAATCAGAAACAAATTAGATAAATGTTAAAGTAACGAAGTAGTGTGCTTCTTATTGAAATAATGAAATTATAATATTTATTCAAAGCACTACCAAAGGCCTGATGATGCCAATGTGGCCCTAGAATAAATCAGTTTTTATTTAGAGGTTCAGGAAACATCTGCAGGTGTTTTGCTATATTTCAAATTTTCTGATAACTATAACTTTTCTCATTTGTAAGCCATAATAAGCCACTATTACTTCAGTCCATTTGTGTTGACCCTATATAAAGGAGTCTCTCCTCCTGAAATCACATACCTGTTTGAAGGCAGCAAAAAAATGGGATTGATCACTCAGATTATCTCTCAATGGACTAAATTATGATAGAAGATTAAAAGGGTTCACCGAATATAGTGTTTAGCTTTCACAGATTCGCTGAATTTACACCTCTGACCAAATAAATCTCAGCAAAATGTTGAATTGCTTCCCCATATGCCACATTATCTTAGTTCTTACCTCATCGGCGGCGTTCTAGGAGAAAAATATAAATAAAATGTGTTACTTGTCCGAATATGGAAGCAGAAGCTAAGGAAAAAAAAGGGGGTGACTCAGTGGTTTGGGTAAAAGCACCGAAATAACTGATTAAAACCAGGCGATAAAACAGACATAACTAATGATTTTATGTTTTCTTTTTTACTGTGTTTTTAAACGATGTTATAGAAAGAAAGTGAAAAACAAGGGACACTGTTAAACCTGAGCAGATAGAGCAATAACTGAAATGTGTCCGATAATGGATCTCGTGACGTTCGTAGCTGAGGCTAACGCTGCTTTAATGTTAGCTACACGGAGCTGTCTGTTCGTTTTCCTCCAACAATGGGGGATGTAACCTTTCCACCAAACCCGAGGTTTAAACCACCTTCCACCCAACAGGCTCCTGGTAAAACGCTGCAGCTACACACTGAGACAAAACGCTCACTGCGCTGAGGATAACTCACCCAGGAGATACCGCTGAGGCGTCGGGCAGATGCGGCTGCAGGTTAGCGATGAACGCCCATCAGTGAGGCTCCGGCGGCTTGTTGGGCATCCAGTTTTTGCGCGACTATTGTCGGACAATCCGAAACGTGGCTTAGCTGCGACGGTTTCTCTGTCCTCTGACCGCATATGTTTTGTGTTGTTCGTCTGCCAGGCCTGGCGATGCTGCTGCTGCTGTTGCTGCTTGAAGGAAATGGGCTCCTCTCTGTCAGCGTTACGCGCACGCGCAGACAGGATGAGAAGAAGAGCCACGGAGCGAACGGAGAGCGAGCGCCACCGCGTGGTCAACAGCTGACAGCGTCAACTGATAGCACCCGTTTTTTTTTTATGTATAACTACACATATTTAAAGTTTACGGAAGAGGATTGGGGCCACTGAAAAAATTCTAACTTTTTTCTAACAATTCTGACTTTTTTTTTCTCACAATTCTGTCTTAATCTCAGAATTCTGACTTTAATCCCACAATTCTGACTTTTTTTTCCCACAATTCTGACTTTAATCTCACAATTCTGACATTTTTTTCTCACATTCTGTCTTAATCTCAGAATTCTGACTTTAATCCCACAATTCTGACTTTAATCTCACAATTGTGACTTTTTTCTCACAATTCTGACATTTTTTCACATTTCTCACTTTAACCTCAGATTTCTGTCTGTTTTCTTACAGCTAACAAACATGTTAGCATCAAGCCATGTCTGTTTTAGAGACTAATCAATCTCTCTTGTTTTAATCACCTTCTGCTCCTTCATTAATTAAATAGCATCACTGGGGACCCCTCTGAAACGTAAAAAGTTGCCTAATTGCATCATTTTCCACCAATGTGTTACTGGTCCTTCCTAACAACTCACACCGTTGTCAGTGAAGCTGAGTGCTCCCTAATCTCTTCCTTTATGAAGCCCATCTACATTAAGATCCACAATTCTGAGATTAAATTCAGAATTCTCAGATTAAAGTCAGAGTTTTTTTCCCATATTATACTGAAATAAAATTTAAGAAACAGCTAACCTTTTTTGTTTTTCAATGTCCCTAATCCTCTTCTGTATAAAGCGGTAAGAAATTTAGGCACTTTTTAAAATCCTTAACATACAACCTAATTTCAACGGACGTTTAAATAAATGTTAAGTTGCATTTGCCATTAAATAATTCTTCAATCAAGTCACAACAATATTATAGAATCGATTTGGAAACTTCCTTTTTCTGTGAGAAACTGAAACTTTTTGATATAGGGAAGTTCTTTAAAAACTCTACCTAGATTCTAACTTTAGTTCAGTCATGCAACAGCATCCATGAATGCACCATTGTTTTGCTAAATCCAACCTTAACCATTTGTTCCTGTTTTTGTGGCAGAGGGGTGAATGTTTAGAAAATGAGGATGAGAGGAAGTTGATGCCAACTTCTGAATCTGAACACAGAATACAGATTCTGCCTTCTTCTAAAGGAACAGAAAAAAACTAAAGACTTGCTGCGTTTTAAATACATATCAATCCTAATTCTTTGTTTCCCAATCAGCTGCTGACTGCCACTAGTGCTCATCAGCAGGCTAATGGCTGCGGATCCAGTTGAATCCTTTAGAACACAGTAGCCTGCATTCCTATAACTTGTTTTTGTCTTTATCACGCTGATAGAGATCTTTTGGTTAGTTTATTTTTTTTCCTGTTGGGTCATTTTCTTAGGGATGTTATAAAAAAAAAAAAGTAAAATATTTCTCAGCTTCTCCACTGGATGGCGACATTTATCTATGATGATCTAGACACCTAATAACTTCTTTCCTTCAGGGTAACTTAAAACCTGTGCAAAACAAACAAACAAATCTAAAATATTTTTATGACATGTTTAATGATTAAAAAAAGCATTTAATTTCCCTCAGATTAATGTTCTGCGAGACAAATATTAAAAATGTGTTTGCCCCTTACAGATTCCCTTTAATCTGTTGTCTAGAGGCTGTTTTAGCTCAGTGAGCTTCACTAAGTTCATGTTTTGTCCACAGGTCATAGGTCTGACTTTGGTTAATTATGGTGTCCCAAATGATTACAAGGGGCTTTCCCAACCTGTTAGGACAGAGAGTTGTTATTTCCTTTGGTTTTGAGATGATTGCTTGTTTTTCAAAATCTTTCAGCGGATCAGGTCATAATTAGACCAGAGTTGGGAATTCGAGCTTATTTAAAAAAAGCAAATCTCTGTTTTCATAGGTATTTCAAGACTAAACAACATGCTGCTTACTACGGCAGGGCCAGCCCTATGGGGCTCTGTACAAAATTCAATTTTGTGCCCCTTTATTTCCACATAATAATATTGATTCCTGCTATCAACGTTTAAAGATCAAATCATTCGCACACCTACTATGAACTTATTGCAGCTCTGGCAGCTCGAGCTGTTTACAGTCTCCTTGTACTATGCTTCATCTAGCATTACTAAAAGTTATAAAATAAGTTAGTATGCAATTTATTAATATTAAAGGTCTTTCTGAGTTATTCTTTTTGGTTCCAACAGCAATATAACATGTAGAGCAAGAACAACAACAAAGAAATAAAATAGCTTTAATGAAAAAATTGGTGAATACATGTACACAATTAATTTAAATAGTCAATTAAATATAAAGCTTATCTTTCTGGTCTACAGCGATGGACTGGCGGAACGCCCAGGGTGTACCCCGACTCTCGCCCACTGACTCCTTCGATAGGCTCCAGTCCCGCCACGTCCCCATTAGGAAATAAGCGGTGACACATAATGGATGGATGGATCTTTCTTGTCTAAATTTAATAGGCCTATACACTGGCCCTTTTCTGCTCTGTGTGCTCTGTTCTCTTTTTATTCATGTATGAGTAATTATTCTGAATTTTGAAACATATTTTTATTTAAAAAAAGATAATCTTATTATGGAATTTTGTGTTTTTTGTTGATATGTTGATATTTTTATTTAGAAATCATATTACCTAATATCCTGCCAGGACTCCTAGGGACAAACTGGAGCTGACTGGAGTGGACCAACACATGTCCCAGTGGATTTTAGACTCACTGGCAGCCCACAGCTTTATCTCAGATAGGTTGGTTTGCAGTACGGGGTGACAGACTGCTGCACCAGGGAGCGTTGTCACAGATCCTTCCTTCCAGCAGCTGTAAGACTTTATAACCACCACTGTGCCCAACCACCTCAATAAGTTCCTACATTCATGCTGATTTTTGCACAGTTTCTGTCTTAGTTAAATAACATGCTGCTGTCATTTTTTTGCACATCGCTGTGGTTGCTGCTATTTTCACATTTCCATTACTGTAAAATATGTCCACACCTGTTGTTGATTTTTTATTCTCCAGATACAGATATTGTAAAAACGCTGTACAGTACAATACTCTATTTGTTTTATACACCTTTCTAAGGTGCACATTGTGTGACCTCTTCCAGTATAACATTTTCTACTGTAAACGCCACAATTTCCCCATTGTGGGACAATAAAGGGATTTTTTGTTCTATTCTAGAGAATCAACAGCAGGCCCCCGAATTGCCTTGGGACCATACGCAGTGGCTTAATTTGTTTATGCTTTGGACAGGCCCTGTTCTCCAGCAGTCTTCATCCAATACTGACTTTGACACATAGATAACATGGCATGCAACAATTTAAATGTGTTCATTTTGAAATACAATAAAACAACTCTATCAGTTTACACACACACACACACACACACACACACACACACACACACACAAACATATATATATAAATTATTTATTTATTTATTTATTTATTTTTTCTTAGTTTTAGATCCACCTAGTTTTTGTATTCTGTTACTTATTTTATGTTTTTTTAGGCCAACTTAGGTTATGATGTAGAACTGTCTGTTACACACTGGATTTGAAAATTTGAAGATTCATGATGGAGAGCCGCCCTATGGACACAGTGTGAACTGTGCATGAGCCAGTTTTGCCCCCTGCTGGGAGTTTCATGGTTTACATGTGAACTGGTAGGATAATTGGACTGATAATTTACAGGAAAAAACAAGCAGAATTTGAAGCAAGAGATGTGGAATACAGACTTCTTCAGTCTTTTGTTGAATATTTTGAGTTTTGTAAGATTTAGACTGTATTTTATTTTATTGATTGTACATGATTATACTGTATGAATGCAGGGTTATTCATAGTTTGGTTCCAAATGCTAAAACTGAAATGGTAGATATACCAGTGGCGGCTGGTGGACTTTTCTCAAGTCGGGGGCTATAAATTCAAAATAGAATTCTAGGTTATCGCACCAGTATATTTCTATGAATGCCAACAACAAAAAAGCATAATAAAAAACATAATTTCACAGGTTTACTTTTTACTTTTATGCTTTGTGAAGGCAAATCTGTGTTTTGCATGCTCCAATATTGTATCACAAACTTAGAAAAATAATGTACGAGTTTAATAATGGAGCTCTCCTATACATTTGTATTTGCAGACCCATTTACACAGTAACAGATTAAAACATTTAAATAAATCAAACATCACCGCCAGATATCTGACTCAATAACTATTAAAACAACTATTTGGATGGATGGATGGATGGATGGATGGATGGATGGATGGATGGATGGATACAGAATACAGCTTTCTTCCATATGCTGTAAATATGACACGTCTACCTCAGTAACTGTATACCTGAATATCATTACTAAACAGGATTCTAATACATCTTTGCAAATGATTATTTCTCACATAGTATACCGTTCATGCACGCATACGCGTCGGTATGTCATGGCATACAGGTACGTATCCATTCTGGCAGAGAAAGACCTCTGTAAAGAATAATAGGAGTCATTTATACTTCAATTTTCAACAAGACGTCATGGTTCATCGTATCAGCTTTTTAAAAAATCTATAAAAAAAAGCCCATTGTATTTTTTTATTATCCATACTATTTATTATTTCTTTTAGAAGTTCTAGTAGAGCAAGTGAAATAGATCTGTTATTTCTGAATCCATATTTATTATTATTTTGTATCAACTGCTGTACATACCAACATATTCTTAATATGTAGTGCTGCTGCGCTTTAATTCTTAGAGGTTCTGTTTTGTGTGTACATGGATAAGGTCCATGTTCATCAGCCAACTAAAACTTCCCTATAAAAGAATAAAAAATTCTGTTTTGACCCACTAATGTTTCCATCATACCAGGTTCTCTGTTTCCTCTGCCATTTGTCGCTGTTATCCAGGCAAACAAAAGGAGG